GTGCGCTCGGATCTAAGCTATCTGGGGATATGTGGAATGTATATGTTTTAGGTAGTAAATGTAACTGTATGTAATTTTATGTCTTTTACTGTATTTTTACTGCCATGCGGTTAATGGAGTTTTGTCTCTGTCCTTGGAGATAATTGGATAACTTCCCAATTATCTCCAGGACAGAGAGGAGGGATTGTGATGCATTGTGGGAGTGTGTAAAGGTGTATGTATGTGATTGGCTAAGAGCCAATATGTTTCCCAGTTTCCCATCTGGTCCCCTAGGGGAGTGTCCACCAGGTGGGAGACCTGCATAAAAGCCGGGCAGTTAGCCCCAGTAAACCAGATTCTGCTTGACCCTCAAACCGATGTGTCGTCTCGTTTTTGGGGGGATTTACTGTATGCTGTTAGAGACTGATTGCCAGGAGTGTAAGCCGCTTGGGGGCTTTTCCTGTTCGTCTGCTAACAGCTATTCGTGTGTCTCCAGTTCGGGAGTTTGGAGTGCTACTTGATATGCAGTTCGGGAGTTAGTGAATTCATGGGTTTCCAGTTCGGGAGAGGGGTGCTTGCAGTAGCTGTCTGTGTATCTGGAAAAGGGGAATATCGCCTAAACGGTTTTTAACCTCTTGTGGGCAAAACGGTCTGTTACACCAAATAATACACAATCCTCCCTATCTCCTTACAAAAAAGCCTGTTGCTAGATTTCATTTCCAGATCACTCCGAGGGTCGGCTACCATAAGTCACATTAGGGCGCACTGGCCCAGAGGACGCCATCTCCAGGTGACCGGCAGGAGGAGAGCACCGTTCACACTGCATGTAGCGTGGCCAAACAGGCGGACCGCACCCTACCCGGTCTGACAGGAAATGCAACAAACTGCTTCCTTTCAGACCGAGACAGGAAACTGCAGACCGCCCGTTTAGCCACATGGAAGGAGGTGCATGGGCATACACAATGAGAGGTACGTGGAACGAAAATAAAATGTACAGGAGGAGAGGGGAAAACAATAATAGGTATGGGGGGATAATACAAAGTACAGGAGGGAACAATAATAGGTACAGGAGGGGAGAGTGTCATTTAATGATACAGACGGGAAACAATAAAAGCTTCAGGAGGGGAGGGTGGACAATAATAGGTACAGAAGGGGAGAACAATAATAGGTACAGGAGAGGAGGGGGGACTATGCAAGATTCAGGAGAGGAGGGGTGCAATGAAAGGTGAAAGGTACAGGACAAGAGGGGGGACAATGAAAGATACGGGAGGGGAGTACAAGGGAGGGGAGGGGGACAATAAAAGTTACAGTAGGGGAGGGGGTACCTTGAAAGGTACAGGAGTGGAGGGGGGACTATAAAAGTTTCAGGAGGGGAGACAATAAAAGGAACAGGGGGGCAATGAAAGGCACAGGAAGGATATTAAGAGGCACTGCAGGGCTAGTGAGCACTAAGAGAGATACAGAGGGGCATGGGCCACAGAGAAGCACACAGAGGGAATGAGGGGGGCACAAAGAGAAACTCAGAGAGGCTGAGGGGGGACACAAGAGACACAGGGGGGTTGGGGGAGGAAGAGACGACTTGGTTGCTTCCTTTTAAATCGTGGTAAAACCAAACAAAACAATGGTTTAATGGGACATAGGGATGAAAGACACACAAAAGGGCTTGGGGGAAGATAGTGGCAGACAAAGGGGCTGAGGGAAGTAAAAGATACACAAGGGAGGTTGTAAGAGACACATGAGAGATAAAATACAGCAGAGGGGGAGTAAGACACACAAAGGGTAAAAGGGGGGTAAGACATTAAAAAATAGGATATAAAACACTAAAGGGGGTAAGAAAGTCAAAAGGGAGGTTACAAGACACACAGGTGAAGGAACATTTTTGGGTGGTGGGGTGGCAAAACGCATCTTTGCCTGTATAGTCAAAAATCCTTGCGCCGGCCCTGATTACGCCAGCACCCTGCATCAAGCCCAATGTTTTCACTATCACTACCCACACTCAGTCCCTTTTCGTTTATAGTATGCTGTCTTTTCAGCTGTCTCTAACCTTAACTATATGATTAAGTCTCTAACAATTACTTCAAATACCTTCTGCAATCAATTTGTGCCAACTGCCCTTTATTAGATTGTAAGCTCACAAGTTATCTTGCTAAAAAGTTTGTATAAAATGACTGTATTCTGTAGATTGTAAGCTCACAAACAGGGTCCTATGTTCCTTTTTTTTATCAGTACATGTTTTTATTTGTCTGTATTGTCTATTGTACAGCACTGCAGAATATGTCAGTGCTATATACAAACAAATAATTATTAGTTCTTTAGTTCACACATCCCCTTTATTGATGGTTGGAGATTGTTAGCAGCTTTATTTTTACATATACAGTACTGCATGATTCCGGGAATCTTCTAATACTGAGGTAGGTGGTGAGGATACACCAGTTGATTGATTTTAGCCAATGCGCTAAACTCTGCATTGCAGGACATAGCTCAGGAGTGTTGTGAGGATATTTATGGGGTGATAAATATTAAAATAATATTTTCATAAAAATTATCAAAAATGTATTTAATAATTTTCATTATATTAAAATTGATATCTTGGTGCGGTTCCCCGAAAAATGATAATATAAAGCTGAGAGTTACTCACAATTTTTAATAGTCTTAGATCCTAGAAGACATTCATCAGAGGATTTTTATTTCACACAGTGATCACAATTTTATTATAAAAATATAATCTATTGTGACAAAAATAATAAAATAATATGTAACAACGTGACAATCAGTGAATATTTAGGTATAACATAGGCATACAATATGGCAATGGTTTAAACACAATTCAGCGTCTAAAAAGCGATCAGTTGTCAAGAATTTAACAAGATTTATGATAGGGGACTTCACTTAGAAACTAACTTTACACAGAACACAGAACTCACAGCACAGCCTAAAGCAATAAAAACTTTGGCTAACAGTCAGATCACATGAGTAACCCTTCTACTGCTGGCTATAATCTACCAGATTTTACATTTGCCGAATTTTAACTTTCCTAAATAAGATACAATATCTTATTTCAGAACAAGTCAATACATCTGGATAAATGTGGCATGCTAACCCTGATAAATTTATCATATGTATATCGTTATCTTTATTCCACCTGCAGGAATGGAATTTTTATAACCATAAATTCTTTAGTTAACTAAGATTTCTAATGATTGAAATCTGACCAAGATTTATCCAAAAATACTATTGCTATTAGTACATTTTAATTAATTTAAATGAATTAAATAAAACCAGTATAGTTACCAGTTAAGTTGTAGATTTTCTCTCAGACGTGTAGATATTCTTATCAGATATGTAGATAGGTCCCAGAAATTTGTATGCAAGTATGATTGTGATTGTATGCAATAGAAATTATTAATAATTAGGTGTGTTTAAGAGAGAGTTGATAGTTTCTTAAGTATAGTCCAAGTATTTCAAAGAGAGTATGAATGTTTGAATGTCCGAATCTTTGAATGTCTGAGTCCCCGAAAAGTGTCTCAATCTTCCATTGTCCTTACTTTTAAAGGGCCAAACTCTCTGTACGTCACTAATTGATAGGACCAATAGGGAACTGTAGGTGTGTCTTCCCTACAGACTATCATCTAGATTTTGGTCAGTAGATGGCGCAATTACATCACCAAAATTTCCTGTCATGGGGTCCAGTTGCCTTTTTGCATAATGGGTTAACTGAAATCGATAATGAGTTTTACATCATTCGCTTATCTATTTTATGACTTTGGTCAATCGCAAGACACGTCACTTCAAAGCTTTGGTTCACTCCAGACAGAGCGTAGGCAATTCCAATCGTAAATTAGAATTGACACCTCCTAACCTTAATTTTACCTTTTACTTACAATGTTATGTTACCTCTGAGCCACCATTCACCTTTAGTAATGTCAGTATCTAGCTCTGTCTTGTATCCAGCACTGGGGGCTGGACATGCATTGGAATTACTCCTGTCACTCTTGGTACACCTGAAGATGATAGTCTCATTAGCCACGTATAAAACACCGCCTCTCCCAGAAGGCAGTGTCAGTTCCTTGACTCTGGTTACATATTGCTGTTTGTGTTCTAGTGTGCTCCTGTTGATTCCTGACCTTTCTGGTCTTCTTGTATGAAGCTGTGTGTAAGATTATTTCTATTCCACTAACTTTAGTAATAATATGATATTTCTTGATGAATAGTCTATATTATTAACATGATATTCATTATATGTGATAATATAAAATAGCAAGTTATCAGTGGATAGTATGTGTGTGTGTGTGTGTATTTATATGTATATATATATATATGAAACAAGGGGGGTTGGCTGCACTCACCTGAACATGCATAAATGGGGGTGCTGCTGGGGGCCAAATAATACAATACACAAGATCCAGCGCACTCACCTATCCACTAAACAGCAACTTCAATGTTGAAAGATTTTATTAGTTTTTTTAAAAACACCTAATCTAGGCAAAAATAATGGGGGTTTAGTTACATTATATGATCATACATTGCATAAGCCTGCCACAACGTCAATGTACCCCATCTTTGGCAGGTCCTACACTAACAGCTTAATGTCTGCTCTTATGAGATTAACCACTTACTTGAGGAAAAAATTCCATCTGGGGCTCTCTGCAATACAAGGCTAAAGAGGGCCCTGGGATGAGGCACCTGTGACAGGGAGGGGTGCAAAACCAAGGAGTTGGCTAGACTCCCAAATAAATATATATATGAAACAAGGGGGGGTTGGCTGCACTAACCTGAACATGCATAAATGGGGGTGCTGCTGGGGGCCAAATAATACAATACACAAGATCCAGCGCTCTCACCTATCCACTAAACAGCAACTTCAATGGCTTCAGGCTTATGCAATGTATGATCATATAATGTAACTAAACCCCCATTATTTTTGCCTAGATTAGGTGTTTTTAAAAAAACTAATAAAATCTTTCAACATTGAAGTTGCTGTTTAGTGGATAGGTGAGTGCACTGGATCTTGTGTAATATATGTGTGTGTGTGTGTGTGTGTGTATATATATATATATAGATATATGTATCTATATATATATATACACACACACACACATTTGTCTCTGTGTTAGTATTCCTTCCCCCTTCCTTGTGAGACAGGATGCCTTATCTTGTTTACATTAGTGCATTCCTTAGCTCAGACTTGACTGAACAGAGTTACAGAGAAAATTTTTGTTTTTCTTAGCCTGGAAATTCCAAAATGGAGTCACCTATGTTCTGAGTGTGACTAGCAATATACACTTTTAATTTCTTGTGCCTTAGCACAAAATGTCTTCCAATATAAATATACTGACAGTGTTAATAGAAGTTCCTGCTTAGGAATTGCTTGCTCTCCAGCTTTTGTAGTAGAGGTGGATAGCAACGACAGGTAAGAAGTCAAAATGTTTGACTACTCACAATGGAGGGACCTTGTGGCATTCCTGGCTTGTTAACCACTACAGAATAAGGAAGCCCATAGCACACCATTCTGCAAAAATATAGGCTTTATTCACATAATTTGTATAAACAAAGTATGTTCAATATGAAGTGCATACAAATAAAGTGCATAACAGTAATGAGTTATACAGCAATACCAGGCACACATAAAATGCATATAAACCCAAAAGTGCGAAATCAGATACACATATCAGGGGCTGAAGACTTCAAAAGAACCCTCAACGTTTCGGCAATGTGCCTTTTTTAAGGGCATCTCCACAAATAACCTATTGTCTCATCTTCTCCTATATATACCCTGAACTAAATGTGCCATTTCCATAATTAAAAGATAGTAATTAAGACTAGCTGATATGGAATAAACCATTGGATATTATCTCTCCGTTTCTATGAATCTTGCTAACCGCTTATTTCCTGGGTAAAATTCAGATCAGGATCATTCACTGGCCAAGGCTAATGAACTAATAAAAGCACCTGGTTCGCAATAAATTTCATACATAAAACCAGACAGAGGAATAAAAGGAAACAAAGTTATATTCTCCATAAGTTTATATATCTGAATGTAATTTTATGGCAACATAGTTTACGTTGAGGCATTACTGTCCCTTTAACATTCCTGCAAAGTGACAATGGTCCAACAAGATGTCAATCCACACAAGCCTGCTGCTTTAAAATAAATAGAGAAAGCCGTAAATACATAAAATACATGTGCCTTGTATGGCAGGCACAAAGACATAGGAAGCATAAATGTTTCTTTAAATAGGTCCGTCTATGCTTAGAAAGCAGTAAGGAATATAATGAAAACAGAATAAATTTTATTAAAGAATGTAATCCATTTTACCAGCATTTGTGTTCAATAATCTGTTCTGTTACTCTAGAACTGTAACAATGCCTACAAAACAGAGCAAATCTCCAGGATATTTACAGAGCGTGACTAACTGTAAGCTACTGGCAGCAGCCCAGCCTTTAAATTATTTAGAGTTACGTATAGCAATGGGCAGCAAAACAAGCCCTGTGTTCATTATGTCTTTTCCCATGTGTGTTACATTAACACTGCCATTTTTCTGGCTGTCTAAAAATGAAATAAAAGTAATGTATGTTGAGAGAGTAAAGTGGGATTGTTGGCCACATTCTTAATGCACATTAGCATATTACTCTAACAATAGCTACACAGACATATACCGACCCTATTTAAGGAAATCAATAAAAAATGAGTTAATTTTCTGCTGCATAACCATGAATTGCATTTATTTATTTTTTTAATCTTGTAAAAAGTCACAAAACCCATGAATATAACTAAATCATGCTAAGCATGTTTTGCTGCTGTTTTGAATACAATGTCTTTTATATAAGTGGAGTAATTTGTAGTGCACCAAGGGTCATATCTAAAATTAAATTTTAATGTACTCAATATAACATATTCTTTTGTATGGAGTTAGTGTCTCCCTGCTCTGTTATTTTCAGGTTCAGTGGAGTCTAGTGGAGAGCATTTATCATTGTGTACTGGGGGCATGGGCGTCCACAGGGAGGGGCAAGGGGGGGCACTTGCCCCCCCCCTGGACAGGGAGGGGCAAGGGGGGGCACTTGCCCCCCCCTGGATTTTTCAGCTTGTTCTGCTATTTTTCGTGTGAGATTTAAAATGAACTGCAATACCGGCGCCGGCCAGTAGGTGTATGGAGAGAGACAGGGATAGGAAGCTGCATCTTATCCCTGCTTCTCTCTGCTGATTGAAACCGCAGGGGAACAACACATGCAGCCAGAGACAGCCTACAGATCAGGTAAGTGAGGGATGGGGGGAGGGTTTGAGATAGCCTATAGATTTTGGGGGGGCAGCAGCCTATAGATTAGGGGGAGGCAGCAGCCTATAGATTTGGGAGGGGGCAGCAGCCTATAGATTAGGGGAGGTGGGGGCAGCAACCTATAGATTAGGGAGTGAGGCTGGGAGGGGGCAGCAGCCTATAGATTAGGGGAGTGAGGCATGGGGGGGCAGCCTATAGATTAGGGAAGTGAGCATAGGCGTGCGCAGCCTATTGCATTAGGGCGTGCACCCTAAAGCACAAACACACGCCATGTGTATATGTATGTGTGTGTGTGTGTATATATATATATATATATATATATACACACACACACTGCTGTGTGTGTGTGTGAGGGTGCTGTTAGTGTGCTGTGTGTGAGGGTGTTGTTTGTGAGGGAACTGGTAGTGTGCTGTGTGTGTGTGTGTGAGAGGGTGTTTGTGTGTGCGTGTTTGTTCGGGTCCTGTTAGTGTGCTGTTTGTGTGCGGGTGTTGTGTGTTTGTCAGGGTGCTGTTTGTATGAGAGTGTGCTGTTTGTGTGTGGGTGCTGTGCGGGTGTTGTGTGTGGGTTTTGTGTGTTTGTGAGGATGCTGTTAGTGTGCTGGGTGTGTGTGGGTGTTGTATGTGTGTGAGTGCTGTGTGTGCGAGGGTGATGTATGTGTGAGGGTGCTATTTGTGGGCTGTGTGTGCTGTATGTGTGTGTGCTGTATGTTTGGGTGGAGGTGGGGGCAGACTAGTTAATATCCCAGTCCTGCTGCCTTCCCTGGTGGTTCACTGGAGAGTGAACTCTAGCCCGGGTTCTCTGCTGCCTCCCTCCATGCTGCTGTGGACCGGTGAGGTAGAACTTTGATCTCCCCACCGGCCCATGGAAGCTTCAACCAGAGCCACCGCTCGGATAGCGTCGGCTCTGCATGAGCCGACCGGGGAGATCCAGAGATTTCCCCTGCCGGTCTCAATCCATTGGCGTGCCGCGGGGATTAGGGTGTGCCCAGGCACACCCGACACACCCCGTGCGCACGCCTATAGAAGTGAGGGATGGGGGAGACAGTCTACATGAAGAGTCAGCAAGGAGCAGGAAGGTAAGGTAAGAAAAGGAGAAGGAACAGAAATGAGCAGGAAGGGACATCAAGGAGCAGAAAGGGGCAGCAAGGAGCTGGAAGGGACAGCAAGGAGCGCAAAAGGTAAAGTAGGAGAAGGAGCACAAAGGAACAGAAATGAACAGGAAGGGTCAGCAAGGAGCTGGAAGATAAAGCAGCACAAAGGTAAAGTAGAAGGAGCTGAAAGGGGCAGCAAGGAGCAGAAATAGACAGCAAGGAGCACAAAGGTAAAGGAGCAGAAAGAATCAGAAGGAGCACAAAGGTAAAGTAGGAGAAAGAGCAGAAAGGAACAGCAAGGAGCACAAAGGTAAAGTAGAAAAGGGAGCAGAAAGGGACAGCAAGGAGCACAAAGGTAAAGTAGAAAAGGGAGCAGAAAGGGTCTGCAAGGAGCAGAAAGGGATCAGAATGAGAAAGGAGCAGAAGGGCAGAAAATAAGCAGAAAGGTAAAAGAGCAGAAGGGGCCAAGGATAGAAAACAGTGTCAGAAGAAAAAAAATAAGACTGTCAAATGAAGGAGAGGAAAAAGAGATTGGAGCAGGAAGGACAAATGAAGTGAACCCTCCACTTTATTCTGGACACCACATCATAAGGCTTTGGTACCTGGGCCAGGCAGGGAAACGCTGCACCTTCTCATCTCCAAAGGTAAAAAAATATCAGTATTAATGTGTTCACTTTTATTTACTGAGTGTCAGGAAGCACAGAGTGCCGTTGGGTAGGGGTGTTGCTGATTGCCTAGAGCGGTCAGCTGGCACTCTAAGCCAATCAGTAGCTCCCCATTCATAAAAAAGTAAAAATATTTTCTGAACCGGGAACTAGCGATTGGCTTAGAGCGTCAACTGTCCACTTTAGCCAATCAGCGGCACCCATGCCTGACGTCAATCTGCACTTCCTGACACTCTGTTTCAGAAGCCAAATACCACTGAGTGACCTGGAGCTGGAGGAAGCCTTTGGGGTTAAACCATTTGAGAGCGATTTAACCCCTTAAAGGAAAGCGAGCACCCAGGGGCTTCCTGGCATCATAGCATTTTCATTTAGGTGAAGTTGTTATGGTGACCAGAATGGTCCTTTACTTTGCTTAACCCCTTAAGAACACATGACATGTGTGACATATCATGATTCCCTTTTATTCCAGAAGTTTGGTCCTTAAGGGGTTAAAGGAACACTATAGTGTCAGGAATACAAACATATATTCCTGACACCATAGTTGTGAAAACACTATTCACCCTGGCTTTATGTGATAATGGCTATGCCCCTTCCCTTTCATGACACTGTCAAAAAGTCATTACAATTATGCCCCCCCCTGGAAAAATTCCTGCGGACGCCCATGACTGGGGGAATAGACTAAATGACATCATTAAGTCTATAGTCGTCATCGAAGTGAAACAAAAATTCATATGCAGACAAACTTCCTGTTTGCAACACACAAATGTGATTAATGATCTCTTAAATCATTATATTTTTTTCTAAGAGCCAATGATTCACTATAACAAAACCCCAAACCAATACATATAAAAAATATTCAACAAGTTAATTTCCTAGTTATTACTATTACTGGCATTTATTATTATTATTATTATTATTATTATAATATTATTTATATAGCACCGACAAATTCCATAGCGCTTTACAGTGGGTGGACAAACAGACATGTAGTTGTAACCAGACAAGTACAAAGAGATAAAGAGGGCCCTCCCTGTGAACTGACATCTACCCATGGAAGCCCGTGACCTTAC